TTTTCTAGGTTGTCCATCCCAAGTGTTTCTTTCATCTTCTTGGGGGTTGCCTCTCTTTTTGATTTTGGGGTCTGTTTAAAAATGTCTTATAATGAGAACCGCATGCATCTATAATATGTTAAAATTATCTTGCAAATGTGTTAATGCTTGTATATGCAGTCAGGTTCTTTGACCAGAGCACATCCAGGCTAGTTGCTTTCCCAACTATTCTTTGTTTTGAAATTTGCTTATGGAAGTTAGTCTTACAGGTTTTATGAGTTTTGCAGGTCCAGGTTTCCCTGCATATAAGGACTAAGAGCATGATTTTAATTACAACTTACCATGAACTGTGTACAGGTGGTTGGAGCTAACTCAGAGGATTTGTCCCAACAGGTTTGCTTGCTTTAACAGGCATTTGCAGGAAAGAGATGGAAGAACTTTTAAAGGCTTCTCCTAAGTGAGACTATTATAATTCTTCTTATGTCTAATTTTGGAGTAATGCAGCTTAGAAATAGGCCATTGCGGGTATTCCGTCGTCTATATGACTCTTGTTGGATGTAGCTGTGGATCTTGGTAAACCTGTTCTTTCTAGAAGACTTATATTAGCTCTGATAACTGTTGTTCGAGACTACTTGTGGAGACTCTCTTGAAGTTTTAGCAACGTAGTTGGTAACTTTTTGTTTTTCAATAGTATCTTGATGTTTAGTCGTTTCATCTATTTTACAATGATGCGGTCCATTTTGTCTCCTCTGGGGTAGGGGTAAGGTGTGCGTACCCTCTATCCTTCCTAGATCCTACTTGTGGGATTTTACTGGGTGGTTGTTGTTGCAATGTCCATTTTGTGTTTGAAAGTTTTGCTTGCTTGGTGCATGAGTACCTCTGTGTTTAGACTTTAGATCCACATATGTAGTTCAGTTTTGCCCTGTCATGCATCTATAAGTACTTGTTAATTGTGATTAGTGAGCTAAAATGTTTGCTGTTTAGTTTTTATTATATTCTGTTCCGCGGTTTACAAACCACTTGAATTGACCGAGTCAGATGTAAGGCAAAATTGCACATAGAGGAGGATCATCTAGGAGCTTAAGGGCTGATGTTGAGAAGTCGTCGAGACATGGAACCATAGGTGGATCCAGAATTAAAATTTTTTGGGTCTAGATTCATAATTCTACCACTTTCATCTTTTTACCACAAAGAGTCAGTTTCACATTAAAAATATTTTGATTTCTCTATTGTTGTTTGTTTAGGAGATTTAAATAAAGTAAATGTAATTCATAATCCATTTTGAAAGATTTTGTTTGAAAATTTTAAGAGAAAGAATGTTAATATATCAATGGATGCATTTAGATGTCAACTCATATAATCTTATTCAGATTTCTGAGTATCTCTGTTGGACTTTAACACTTTTGACTTTCTTGACAATCTAGCTTTTAGGCACTAATTTCTACGTTTCTCGTTGAAAAGGATCGTAGAAAAAAAAAGTCATCAATTTCTTTAAATTTTCTTGTAAACGTTAATGTAATTTAAAATTCCAAAATGGTTCACATGTAACACACTTAGAAGAGAACTTCTCTAAGTTTGATTAGACAGAAGACGGCATAATTTCATAGTTTCTTAACACCCCTTTATTGTCTCAAATGGATTAGTGGATGATGACAAAATAATAAGACTTACATTACTCTAAAAAATAATTAAAAAAATAGAACTTTAGGTGCAGTCTTGCGTTTAAGGGCTCATTTGGTAAGGGTATATAAGAATAGTACTGAATATGGTGTATTAGTAATGATGTGCTTAGTTATGTTGGGATTATTTCTTATTGATTGTTTGGTTTGGTGTATTAAAGGTTTTGAAAGAGCAATTCTGTCTTAAAAATCATGGTATTACTGATGACATAGTTTGCTATGTATAAAAATAATACTTAGGTTGAAAAATACGACCAAACTAGGGATTAATAATACCAAAGCTGATATATATGTACTATTAATGTAGTGATTAGTTATGCTGAGATTATTTCTTACTGACTGTTTGGTTTGGTGTATTAAAGGTTTTGAAAGAGCAATTTTGTCTTTATACATGCTTATCCATGTCTTAAAAACCATGGTATTACTGATGGCATGTTCGCTATGTATAAAAATAATACTTACGTTGAAAAATACTACCAAACAAGGGATTAATAATACCAAAGGTAATATATGTATTTTTTTCTCTAATATATCCTACCAAACGACCTGTTACAAATATAATCACACTATCTAATTAGTGAAATATCTCTCACAGTCATAAGTTGATTAATCTAAGCCTATTAGGCATTAGACATTTCAAAGAAGTCTTTCGAGCTAGAGTAATAAATCTTTCCTCTATCTCATTTTAGCATGATTTAAGATATTAGCACGTCGATTAAAAAATATTTACTACAAGGAATGATTTACTGAATTACTCTTATTTATTTTTAATTTTCTTACTTTATTACTTCTATTAATAGGAAAGTGAGTATTATTAATCACTTTTGATCTCTCTCATAGTAAAGGTAAAATTATAAATGTTTAATTAATTTTCCCTTGATTTTCTAAGATGACATATGTTTTGAAAAATCTTTTTGGGGCTAAAACGGCACTTAAAGTGAATGGAGGGAGTAAAACGAACTAAAGATGTTATTCAATCAATAATCATAAATAAAACGACCCAGTAAAATCCCACAAAGTGGGATCTGGGAAAGGTAGTGTGTACGCAGACCTTACCCCTATCCCGATCGGGCAGAGAGGTTGTTTCCGATAGACCCTCGGCTCAGGAAAATGAAAATAATGTTATTCAATTCCTATAACTTAAAGAAATACGTAAATGACCACAGACTTCTGTAAATGTCATACCTACAAATATTACTACTGCCACACAAAACTAAGGATAGTCTTTTGGAGTTTGTGGATTAGATATTCCTGTGCAGAAATGATCCACTCCAACTTCAGAGTTCAGACATATAGATATAAACTATCTGCAAACAGATTTTTTTAGAAAAAACTTTACACGGGGACGCCCTATTTGGGTCCGCCCCCGATTTTAACCCTATACCCATTTTTTTTTTTAAAACGTTTAACTTTGTACCCCACTTTTT